TCCTTTTCCCTCACCTCCTCTCCCTCCATTTCCTTCTCCTCCTCTTTTCTCCCTTCCTGGACCTCCTCACCTCCCTTCGTCTCCCTCAGTCCACCAGCCTTCAACTCATGCCCTCCCGTCCCCTTCCCATCATCTGCATCCCTCGCATCAGCATCAGCATCAGCTTCTGACATTCTAGCATCAGCAGCAGCACCATCAGCACCATCAGGGGCATCAGCAGCAGGGGAGTAAAAATCAGCTGGAATGGCATCACCCATCCCCAACCAATCCTGCTCCACCACACCATCAGGCTCCTCTGCCATCCATGGATCTCCATCCCTCCCCTTCCTCTCCTTCCCACTCTTCCCACCCACATCCCCTGTCAACCCTTTCCCCATCTTCCCACTCTTCCCCTTCAGAAGTTTCTTTTTGCTCCTACCTCCTTCCTTCTCCTTCTCCTTCTGTTTCTCCTTCCCTTTCTCCTTCTCATTCCTCCCCACACTTGATTTCTGTCTTTTTGGCCCTTCCCTATCCCCCCCCATCCCATATCCCTCCATTATCCCCTTCCTCCTTCCCTCCCTACCTGCCTCTAATCCTTTCCTTCTCAACCTCCTTTCCTTCCCACTCCCCATCCCATCCCCCCCTTCCTTCCCCCCACTCCTCCCCTTTCTCCGCCCCCCTCTCGACCCTTCCCCCCTTCCCCCTTCCTCCCCTCCTCCTCCCCGCATCATCCCTGCCACTTCCTCAGCCAATGCTGCTGCCTCCGCCCCATGAATTCCCCCATCCGCTCCCCCTTCCCCCCACACTTCCTCCTCCGCCTCCTCCTCATCATCCGCGCAAGCCAGCAGCGGAAGGGGGAGCGAGGGGGACTCCTTGAGGGGGGAGTGGCGCATCACAGGCGGGGGGGGTTGGGGAAGGCGCTGGAGAAGCCGGAGGGAGGAAAGAGAGGAAGGAAGAGGGGAAGCAAAAATAGGGCAGGTGGAGGAAAGCGGAACAAATGGGGGTGGAAATAGGGGGAAAGAATGAGTATGTTCAAAGATAATTGCGGGTCTTCTAATTAGGGTTTTAAACAATCTCCTCCCATGCGATCTCTTGCACTCCCCGTTCCTCCCACGCACTTCCCCTATAGAACCATCCTAAGTTCCACACTCTCCCATAGCCTATGTTCCACACTGTCCCTCCACCCCGCCCATTCTCCCCCTCTCTCCTCCCATTCCCCCAACGCACCTGGTGCAGGCGCTCTTCCCAGGCGCGCATCCATCCCTTTTCCCTACCAGCCCCACACCCCTGCCCTTCTTCTCCCCCTCTCCCCTCCCACTCCCCCAGCGCACCTGCTGCAGGCGCTCTTCCCAGGCGCGCATGCGTCTGCGCATGGCCACCTTGCTCCACCGCACATGGTTCGCCACCACCCCGTGAAAGCTCTCCAGCCCCCACACCACGCGCTCCCACCGCCACCCCGCTTCTTCGCCTTCTCCCCCGCCTCCTCCGCCCCCTCCCCCGCTTCCCCCCTCCAAGTGCCGCCTCCCCACGTGGAAGCACGCAAACCCAGCATTAGCGGACCGGTACTGAATAGGCGCCTCCCGCACCTCCACAGGACAAAAATACGAGAAGGAGAACGCTGGCGCGGATGCTAAGGGGGCGAGCGGGTCTTGGGGGGGCGGCGGGGGCGGGGGCGGGGGCGGAGGCGCGCGCGGGTCGAGGAGCGCCTGCGCGTGCGCCTTGGCGGCTTCCAGAGTGGCTGCGGCGTAGGCTGCGGCGGCGGCGGCGGCGCGCTTGGCCGCCGCGTCCGCCTCGCGCCGCGTGGCCTCGAGCTCCTGGGAGAAGGGGACGCGGGGGGTGGGCGCGCGGGCGGGGAGTGAGGCGGAACGGGGAGGGGCAGGCGGAAGGGGAGGGGGAGGGGAGGTGGGGGAGAGAGGGGTGCGGGATAGCGGACGTTAGGTGTTTGGCGAGAGAAATAAAGGAAATGTGATGACCTAAAGGCGTGTGGAGTGTGTGTGTGGGAAGGAGTGGAAAGGTCAGTGTGTATCGTTGTTGCTGCTCTAGGGAAATTGGCTCCAGAGTCTCAAACGCGTGCTGTATATGCGTGTGCTCGGCCCTTGCAAACACCCCATGCCATGCCCCATGCGCCATGCGCCCTCGGCAATGCGCCATGCGCCGATTGCCCGCCATGCCAACACCATAGTACCAGCAGGAAGTGGGTCGCGATCACAGCATCGTCCATGTCCTTAAAGCGCATCGGAATCACTATAGTCACACTCGCCCCGTGCGACACCACGAACATCACCCGCCCCTTCCGGTGCACCACACTCGTCAGCATCCCCGCGCCTCCCCACGACTCCCCTCCCGCGCCCCCTAATCCGCGCGCCACGGATTCCCCCAGGTCGCTTCCGCCCGCTGCTCCGCCGACGCCTATCACTCCGCCCGCGCGGAGCGGAAGCAGCGCAGCGCGCAGAGGCGCGCCCATGACGAACGAGCGCAGGCGGGCGAGCTTGCAGGCAATGACTCTCTGGGCGGAATCGCGGTCCGGGAGGCGCGCGAGATTAACTACTAGCGTGAGATTATATCCGGGTTCAGGCGTCGGCAGAACGGTAGCGATCTGCCAGTACCCGAGGTGGACGGCCTCGATTGCGCCACGTGGCAGTCCCGCGCTGGTCATCACCTCGGGACCTGCCTGCGGGATCGCTATGGATAAGAGGAGCGTGCTGGGATCTGATTCTTCCACCTGTACGCGATAGTGCACGCCTTCAAACTCGCTAATGCAGATATCAACGGTCGCATCAACTCCAGTTATTGGCCTGCCAGCGGCTCGTGCGGCGGCTACTACCCGCATCTGCTTCAGCAGCGCGTCGCGAAGGAGCGGGTTTTCGTGGGGACGAAACGCCGCCAAGCGCCGATCTACTGCGTCCGCCTCCCCTTGCGCGCGCCGGCCCCCCTCACCCTCCCCCGCGCCATCTTCCAGCAGCCCTAGCAGGCCCCATGCGTTCAAGTCTAGCCCCGCCGCCGCCGCGGCTGCCGCCCATGCGGCAAGCGGGCCGGCCGCGGAGCCTTCCGCGTGTAGCGCGGAGGCGAGCATGCGGCGGAGCTCCGCCCAGTCCCAACCGGCGGGGGGCCATTGAAAGTTGTCGCGCCATTCCTGGATGTTGCGGGGAAGATGCGGGATATGAAGCGGCGGGAGGGGGGGTAACTGCGGAAGGTGGGGTAACTGCGGGAAGGCCGGTAGATGCGGGAGGGACGGTAGATGCGGGAGGACCGGTAGCTGGGGAAGAGACTCCGGGAGTTGCAGCGACAAGGGCAGGGTGAGGGTCTCTCTCAGGGTCGCAATGGGAGACGCCGCCCTTTGCGCCGCCGACGGGCGGTGGGGGGAATGGCGGGTTGCCAGCTGAACGGCTGCTCGTGGCAAATTAGGTTACTGCTAGCTTGAGTAAGCATAAAGCGGATTGACGAATAGTCACCGTTGTCGATAAGCCTGGCTTAAAAGTATGTTTGCCTTAGTTTCGAGGTAATGAGACATTACGCTGGCGACATCATCGGGGATTTGTGTCAGTTTGTAGTTGGCGCTAAAAGTACTTTCGTGCGATCTCTCCAGACACCTCCAAGTGTTACCCTGTCGTCACTGGATTTCGCAAAACCCGCCATGAAACATGATAGGCGAGCACAAATCGTGACCCACGACACACGAGCTGTTCGCAGGAGGACATTTCGTGTCAAATACTCGTTATTGTCGGAGCCGTCGTCTGACAATATGTGGTGTTCGGAAAAATGAATTTGATACACGATAGTAGCACGACAACTTGAAGTAAAGTTTTTTCATGAATCACGACCTGTCCCGAGTTTCGCTACATCCAACTGGCAGATGATAACTGGTTCATTCATTCTCCCGAAAGGACGAACTGCATCGCAGAAGCCAGCACGAATCCAACTAGGGGGCCACAGATGCACGGCTGGAGAGCTGTGCAGCACCACAATCAAATCGATCTGACGACAACTCTAAGCCGCGTGTACTATCAGGATTGGTGAACGAGGGAATGAGGGTAACCGTACCTGTTGCACTTCTGAAGTTCCCAAATCACATTTCACAACGAATCAGCTGTCTTCCGAATCTCGAAGTTGCGCCCCTGGCGCCGCCATTCGCTTCCCTCCGCTCTTTTCCCCCGCAAATGTCAATCCGTCCGCCATCTCCGTCCGCGGAACACCCGCTACAAGCGTCTGGGGAGAGTTCAGCTCGGAAAGCTGGCCCCGCGACTTCGACTTCCCGCGCTTTCACCACGATTCACGAATCACGAACTCCCAGCACCCCCTCACTCCCGCACTCCCCTCTCCGTCCCCCTCAATTCCCCTCGCCAACTCCTCTCAATTTCCCGGCCAAATCCCTTCCGCACATCTGCGTTTGGCGGGAAGGGACACCACACGCCACTGAGGAATCGGCGCAGCTTGCTGGCTCGGTCGGTAATCTCGAGAGCAGGCAAGGCGGACGGTTCGAGTCGAGTCTTGTCTGGGCAACTCCCAAGATCGTACAACACTCAGGTCACGGTTCTGGGCGAAGCTTGGACACCAAGAACCAAATTTTTCCCTCAGTGACGTGTAAACACACCCAATCATTGGTCACCACACAACTTGCGAGAAGTTGGAGCATGACAGCCAATCAGACGTGTTCATTGATACCAAAGTGTCCACACTTCAGTTGGTGTCCAAACTTCAGAACCGTGATCTCAGTAGCTCATTGTATGTGTACATCACCACCAAACCAATAGCAGCTCATTCCATCACCACAACCACACCGCTTCGTTCTTGCGCTTCTCTTTCAAGTTCCAACGTCTTCCTCGCCCGCTTGCAGTACCGTTCGCTCTGTGCTGGGAGCGTCTGAGAGTATCGCAGCGCGAGAATCAAGTTTTCCGCAACCGCCGCCAAGATGTATAACCCTCAGGCGATGGAAGGTCGTAAGGCCTTCCGCAACAACTGGCAGATCGAAATGTGGCAGGCACCTGCGAAGGAGCTTCCATGTGCGTACAATCCGGAAATTATTCGTACCCATATTTGCTTTACGTTTTCTTGCTTCTCGTCTTTCTTGTGCATACTTAAAGCTCCTTTATAGCAGCGTTCTTCCGGAACGCAAGTCGTGTTTTTTCACCTTCGTCGTTTGCTCGCTCAATGTTCGATCGTGCACTGCCTCCTCGCGTCGCTCTCTTGTTTTGCACACAAGACAACGTCGAAGAAAAAACTTGTTCCCAGCTCTCTTTCGGTCAACTAACCACCATACTGTCGCTGTTCCCTGGCCCTTGCTGTCACTGACTTCTGCGAATGTCGCGTCCCTGTCGTAAATTTCGCAACTGTCGCGGCGGTCATCAGTCTGCTGCATCGCCACTTGGTGGTACGGGCCTCACACTTACCCCCTTTTCGCGTTCATGGACGCCATAAATTCCCCTCGCCGCGTATTCCCTCACGAAAATAACCGCTTTTTCCCTTCAAAATCCGCATTTCGTGTCCGCCGTTCCTGCCGCTTGATCATTTCCGCCTTTCGTATCTCTCTCAATATTTTTATTTCTGGCTTGTTCTCATCTTGTCTCTCTGGCAATCCCCGCGTCCGTTCCGCCAGCTCCCCCTGCGCGTCGTATTACTTGCGCGACCGCGTGCTCTATGGCGACATGTCGAGGTATGCACCGACCGTCCCTTCACTTGCGCGCCTCTTTACCCTCCTGTCGTCTTCCGTCGCCTCGCGCCTTCCCTCCCCCGCTCCTTCCCTTCCCCGCTCCTTCCATCCCTCGCTGCTTCCCTCCCTCGCTCGCATCCTCACCTCTCTCTCTCTAGCTTCCACCCTCCTCCTCCTGCCAATTCTCCCAACCTGCTTTGCGCACTGCACACTTGATACTTCACCCACGAACCAAATTCCGTTGAACGAGGCTGTTTGTATCGCGCCAGGCACCTAGAAAGAGCCGCTCGTACCTTCACGTTCTCTCCCTCTCTTTCCTCCCTCCCCTCGTCTCCCCTCGCTGAGACCCCTCCCTCCGACCTATTATACTCTATCCTGCCTCCTCCGCCCCGCCACTCCCCCCATCTCACCCTCATCCCCGCACTCCCACACCCCGCTCTCCGCTCCCCCTTCCCCTCCCCCCGCGCGCGCCAGGTACCAGTGCTGCGGAGGGTTCCTCCCGTGCAGCGGGCACTGCGGGGAGTCCAAGTGTCCCAAGTTCTGTCTGGGCGTGGAGGTGTGCCTGTGCTTCCCCTCGTCCGTCGCCTCCACGCGCTTCCTCATTCAGGACCAGCTCAACATCATGAACAGCAAGTGCGACAACGGTATCCTGGTACGCTGGCTGCTCTCTCCTCTCCTGCTCTGCCCTGCTCTGCTCTGCGCTTCTCTGCTTTTGAGGCGCCCGTAAAAAAGACTTAGAGGCGTTTCAGATTTGGACCAGCTAAAATCCTGAACAGCAAGTGTGACAACGGTATCCTGGTATGTCCGAGCTGCTCTCTCCCCTGCCCTACTCTGTTCTGTCTGGGCGTGGAGGTGTGCCTGTGCTTCTCGCCTCCACGCGCTTCCTCATTCAGGATCAGCTGAACATCATGAACAGCAAGTGCGACAACGGTCTCCTAGTACGGTCTCATAGATATACTTTTGCGTCGCCTCGGAGATGAACCAGCGACTCTGCTCTGCCCTGCCTGCACTGCACTAACCTGCTCTGCTCTCCTCTGTTTTCCCTTACCTCCATCACATCCTCCCTGTCCTCTCCCCTCTCCTCTCCACCTGCCCTTGGCCCCACCTCCAGGCGTTCCTGGTGTGTCTGGAGCAGCTCGCGTGCATTTTCGCCATTCTCGCCTGCATCCTCCAGTCCCTAACCCTCCTTCCCCTCTCCTGCCCCTTCCGCCAACCCTCTTCTCCCCCACCTCCCCTGTCGCCCCAACAGGCGTTCCTGGTGTGTCTGGAGCAGCTCGCGTGCATCTTCGCCATCCTCGCCTGCATCCTCCAGAGCGACAACCTTCATGACGCCGCACATGCCCTGCGCTGCATGGCCGATGTTGTCTACTGCTCGTACGTCTCGTTGTCAAATTTTTAGTCCAAAGTCTTCGTGCTCTGCGCTGCATGTTTCTGAGTCTTCGACTCAAGAACTTGAGTCCAAAGTCCGAATGCTCTGCGCTGCATCGCAGACGTAGTCTATTGCTCGTACATCCCTCCCTGGCCCTTTCTCTCCCTTGAAACGTTCCTGAGCCTGAGTCTACTGCTGCAACGTCTCAGAGCATGCGCTGCGCTGCGATGCATGGCCAATGTGGTCTACTGCTCGTACGCCCTTTGCCAATTCCTGAGTCGACTAAAAAAATCTTGAGTCAACCCCAAACATCTTGAGACTACTCCAGAATCCGCATGCTCTGCGTGCATGCCTGATCCTCTCATCATCTGCTCGTTCCCCCTGTTGCCTGCCTCCCCATCCCCCCACCCCACCATTGCGCCTGCGTACCCATTGATTGGCTTGGCGCCCTTCTTCCAACCCGTTCAACACCAGTGTGTGTGCATGCATGCAGGTAAGCCCTTCCCGTCCGCCCTCACCTTTCCCCACTCCCTTCTCTGCGACCCACCCGCACTCTTGCTCTCACTCTCACCCTCACCCTGTCTCCCTAACCCTCGCTGTCGCCCTCTCACCACCCTAACCCCCACTGTCGCCCTCACCCCCATTCTCACTCACTCTCACTCTCAGTGTCGCTGTTGCTGTTGTCACAGACCCTGTCCAGTGCTCCTTGCATTCTGTCGAACAGCCAGTTTCCTACTTGCATATTGTCAGATTCAGCATGAAACTGAACTAACGAGGCCATTATACCAACCGACTCAAAAGCAAGTTGGCCGGATTCCCTTCTCCCACACTGTGGAATTCATGTCATGGGACAGAACAGCCGTTGCCGATGCCAGCGTCTTTGCTGATTCCTTGTCACCCACCCATCGCATCTCTCCGTTTTGGTTTGTGTATCCCCCATGGCTGCAACTTGCCAACTTGCCCTTGCAGACGCAGCACAAGATGGAGTTAGACACCAGAGACTCCTGTTTAGGCGCCTCAAAAATCCCCTCTGCCATGATGATTCTCACGGTCCCCTTGCAGACGCAGCACAAGATAGAGCTGGACACCAGAGACTCTCACAACGCCGCCAATGCTCCCCCCATGTCTGCTCCTCCTCAACAGACCATGCAGGTTCGCATCGCAGGCGCTCACCTGCTCCCCCCTCCCTCCTCCCTCCCAGCATCTCTCTCTCTCTCTCTCTCTCTCTCTCTCTCTCTCTCTCTCTCTCTCTCTCTCTCTCTCTCTCTCTCAAATGGTCCTTTGTATTAATTCAGCAGGGGTACAAACATGCGGTGCTATCCATGATAACCTCCATCCCTTAAGCCCCAAAACTCACCACTCTTCTCCCCCCCCTGAGTGACCCTCTAGCCCTCCAGCGTGTGGAGGATGTCCCCCAGGTGCAGCGGCCAGGGGTCCGCTGCCATCTGGGAGTGCGCTGCCTCGATCCCAGCCCTGGCCTTGGTGTGCAGGGCATTCGCCTGGGAGCGCTGGAGGGCCACTGACCAGCGCTGGCTGAAGTGGCAGGCCATCTTCTTGGCCGATTTCGCCAAGGGGTTGGCCCTGAACCGGTTCCTAGCTGCTGCTGTGGCCAGCAGCTTCAGGAACGCAGTCGTGGTGGGCGCGTTTGCCCCGTAGGTCTCGACGGCCAGGGCGCAGAACACCACGTGTTCCGTGTGTCGGTAGTACTCCCTCTCCTTCCGCCTCTGTGCCTCTCTAGCAGCCCAGCCTGGGGGTTTGCGGGCTGTGGGGTCCCGGTTCTGCAGCACGGGGTCTGTGATAGTGGTGTCTGTGATCCAAGTCTCTCCACTGTCCGGGTCGCGTACAATCACATCGGCTTTCTTCGGGTCATCCGGCGGTGAGTACATGGCGTTCTCCAGGTATACCACCAGCTCTGCTTCCCTTGCCATTTTAGCCACGGCAAAAGCTAGCTGGTTGTGTGTGCGCGTCCTGTCGGGGCCTGTGCTGCAGCGGAGTAGGTGGTTGGGTAGGCTGCAGTCGGCTACGAGTTCTCCACACTCGCACACAGTGGGTACATTCTGTCGAATGCCCATGCGGAAGGCCAGGGCTGCTCGGAATTGTCCCGGTGAGAAGCAAAGGTCCGGGGTCAAAGGTAGGGCCTGCAGCCATGCTCCCGCTCCCTCCCCTCTCAGGCTGATGAGGCGGAGTGAGTGACCCATCTCGGGGGCTGACTGGATGGTGCGTGACTCCTCTGTCAAGGCGTCGGCCTTTGCCGCGTGCACCTCCTGAGAGAGGGCGCGTTGCAGCTGGTCTTGGGACGGGGTTTGCTGCTCCTCCCGGAGGTTTTGTAGCGCCAGCGGTGGCAGGCGCCCCTACATGTCCTGGATGGTTACCGAGTGCGCTGCGGACGGCTGCAGGGTGTTGTTGTTGGCCCCCAGTGCCGCGGTTGCTGGTAGGTCAAGGGAGCGGAGCAGTCGTAGCGCCTCCGTCGTTGATGCCAGGTAGGCTGGTGCTGCTTCTGTTGTGGGGTCTGTAAGTCCCAGCCCGCCCAGGGCGACTGGAAGAGTTGCTTGTCGGAGCAGGAAGTTGAACTCGGCTTCTCGGCGTGGCGGTTGAATGCTGGCGGCGGTCAAGGCCGTGTGCAGTAGTTCGGAGCACCATGTGTGCCATTCCGAGACGGGTAAGACGTCTGCTGGGGTAGTGCTTAGCAGGTAGCCGATTCTGCGGCTGATGCAACGGGACAGTAGCAGGAGGGCATGTTGTGGGTGGATGGACGCCAGAGAACCCAAGGGGGCTGCCGCGTCTGTCAGGGTACTGCGGACAAAGGCAGAGCAGAAGCTCTGCGACCCCACAGGACTTCCCAACACCCGTACCCCCTCGTGGGTGTGGGGGAGGCCTTCAGGGAGCACGACACCTCCAAGCGGCATGGAGGACCACGCCGACGACTTCATAAAGTTGCAGGTGAGGCCATCCTGTGCTAGTAGCGGCGTGAGCTCCCTTAGCGCGTCTAGCGTCGCCGTCGCGGGTCCAATCATGGTTATGTCGTCTGCGTACGCGAGGACGGTGACTTCCGGGTGCTCCGCTGCCACGTGCCTGAGGTGTTGCTGGATAGACGCCGCGAATAGCAGGGGTCCGAGGGGATCCCCCTGTCTGACTCCTCTTCCGCTGGTGAGTGCTGTGGAATTGAAGCATGGATCTAGCAGCAGCGGTGATGGTGATGCGTAGAAAGAGCGTGTGAAGGGGATGAGGGGGGCTAGCGGGGAGCCGATAAGTGCGTTGAAGAACGCGCTCCTCTCGACTGAGTTGAACGCGTTCTCAATGTCGAGTTGGAGGACTAGGCTGGAGGGCTGCACGGTGGTGAGGTCTCTGACTGCATGGATGACGAACTTAGCACCTCCTGGGACTGCCACGCCAAATTGCTGAGGTAGGAAAAAATTTCGCGTTTCTCCTTGCAGGTCTGAGAGTGCCACTTTCGCCGCCAGCCTAAGCAATGTTTCTCCAATCGCGATTGGGCGTACCCCCCCCCTGGTTTGGCGAAGGCTATAAGGCGGGACGGGGCGAGTAGGGCTGCAACCTCGGTGGAAAGGTTTGTCGAGAGAAGGTGTTTAACGGCGGAGTGGAGGTGCCCTAGTACCTCGATGTTACTTAGCGCTGGATCGCGGTAGTGTTCGAAGGTTGACCCCGATGGGCCAGCCCCAATTCCCCTGGGGCATTCCCCGAGGACGTCCGAAAAGCTTTCCAGGGTGGTTGAAAATTGTGTGGGTGTTGTGTAGGAGTGGACCCAGTCGGGCAGGTCATTTTGGGGTTGGGGGTGTTTCGATTCCAGCTGCTGCAGTGTCGCGAATGTCGCCGGTGCTGATGGCGAGGGTTGAAGGGCCGCTAACGCCTTTCGCAGGTAACCCCTTTTCACCAACCCCTCCGCACGTGAGCAGATTCCCAGCGGGTCACGTTGGTGCTGAGGTGGTTCGGCCAGGTGCATTGACCCCAAGTATTCGGTGTACAGCTGGGTCCAGTGTCCACATCGGAATAGATGCATCTGTGCCCGCAGCAGTTTCCACCTAGAGCTGGATCTCCGGCTAAGTCTTAGCGTGAGACGTGGCAGGAACATGAGGACCCGCCACGCTCCCGCGCAATTAGGCAGCTTTGAGATCCGTAGTAAGGCAGCCAGCATACAGGTGGAGTAGTCGCTGAGGATCTGCGGCGGCAGTCGGCGGACGATTGGTTGGTGGGTGATGGATGTTAGGAGCGTAAGGTCCTAGGTCATCGCGATCTGGAAAAGATCCTCCCGCGAGGCCAGCTGGGACGCAGATAGGGCTTGGTCCGGTGGGGGCTGGGCTCTGCGCTGCTGTCTGCGGTTGGTTCCTCTCTCCTGTTGCTGCGCCACCTCCTCTCCTGATTCCGCGCGAGGTGAGTCGGGATTGTCTGGTTGCCTCAGATCTGACGGTATATAGTCCTCGTCTCTCGCCTCTCTGATGATATCGACGTTCCTCCCTGCTTGCGCTGGTGCACCACCTCTCGCCCCGCGCCTAGCGAACGACTGCCGCGTGATTCGTTCCGCCGGCTCCCCTAGCCAGATTGGGCTCGGTGGTTGGCGCCCGCGCCCCCTCGCCGCTTGACCTTCGCTCCTCTGTCCTCCGCGCGCTCCTCGTCGCGATCCTCTCCCCCGCGCGCTTCCCCGTCCGCTCTGCGGGGTCCCTACTGCTAGCGCCGCCTGTTGCGTGGGGAAAGTCGGGGTTGTAGGCTCCCCTTGTGTTGGAATTGCGCCTTGTGCTTGCGCAGATGGCGCTTCCGTCCGCCCACGACCGCGAGTGTACCGCGGAGAGTGCACCTGTGCTTCCGCCACGCCCGGCGGTGAGCGTTCCTGCTCGTCCTCCCGCTGCTGCGGACCAAATCCGGCGCCGATTTGAGGACCAGCGCCGTCCTCCCGGGCCGCGTGTCGCTGATTCGCCTCCGAGAGTGGCAACCCGCGCGGAGTCCGCTGTGCGTTCTGGCGCCTTGGCGGAGCCGCACCGGGGGCGTTCTCCGCGTTGTCGGACGCCTGAGCCTCGTGACGAACGCTGCGAGGGGCGGCGTGAAGATCGCCGCGAGCGTCGCTCCCCTCGTCGTCAGGGGAGCCGCAGCCGTTCCCCTGGGCATCGTTCGCCAAGTCACCGTTCCCCATCTCGCCATTCGCCTCGCTGTCATTCACCCGCGCGCCGATCCTCAGGGCGTCGCTCTCCTGCTCGCCGTTCTCTGCGCGGGTCGCCGGTGAAGCGCCAGCGGCGCCATTCTCCATCGCGTCGTGAGCGATCCCCTGCGCTCCGCCCGCGCAGCACGTCCCGGCCCCAATCTCCAGCCCGCTCGTGGTCGAATAGTCGTGGGCGGCGTGGCAGTCGCGGGGGCCGCGGACGCGGGGGCGGGGGTCGCCAGTCTGCGTCGGACTTTGCGCGCGCCCTGGAGAGGCTTCCGGACGTGCTCGCAACTGCTCTCCGTGAGTCGCAGGCGGCGACAGCCTGTCGCTCCGTTCCGCCAGACGCTTCTCGTTCTCTTCCCGCCATTGTCGAGGTAGCCAACCGTGCGGTGTCCCCGCAGCGCTCTGTCCAGCAGCCGCCTGTTCTCCCGGGTTTTGTTGGCGCTGGCGGAGGCCCAGCAAGGGGTCCGTATCGTGACCCTCGTCCTCGCCTTGAGGAGGCGGAGTATTCATGTTCCACGGCGACCCTGCGTCAGCTGTGGATACTGTCGGAGTGCCTAGAGGCACTGGCGCGTGTTCTCCGGTCGACTCGTGCGTCGATGCCGATATCCCGCCTGAGCACATTTGCTGAGAAACCGCAAGCAGCGTGCTTGGGGGCGGCGGATGAGATCCTATCCCTCTTGGCGCCACTGCAGGCAGCGCCCTCCCCGGGTGCAGACGCGGCCAACCTGCTGGCTCGCGCGGCCCTGAATCTGAGGCACATTGCAGGGTCGGTTGAAGGCATACCCGGAGATGCTCTAACCGCCTGCGTGTCAGTGGTCCGCCACTTGTGGCAGACCACGCGCGGAATGCTCTCGTTTCTGGGGGCGGACCGCATGTAGATGCCCCCCTTTGTCTTGTGTAGACCTTCTCCATGATGCCTGCTAGTTGATGATGTTTGTCGCCATGCTGTCTGCTAAAGTTGTCCCGTTACCTAAGCTTGCCTCCTAAAATGCGCGGCCGTAGGCCGCGCACGCGAGCGCCGGAAAATTTGGAATCACCAAACGAATAATGAGCTAGGGAAGGTGCCGGCTGGCCATTATATAGCTGGGGGAAGGGGAAGAGGCTAGGAGGGAAGAGGCTAAGTCCCCCTTTCTCTCTCGCTCTCTCGAAACGAGCACCGGAAAATTTGGAATCACCAAATGAATAATGAGCTAGGGAAGGTGCCGGCTGGCCATTATATAGCTGGGGGAAGGGGAAGAGGCTAGGAGGGAAGAGGCTAAGTCCCCCTTTCTCTCTCTCTCTCTCTCTCTCTCTCTCTCTCTCTCTCTCTCTCTCTCTCTCTCTCTCTCTCTCTCTCTCTCTCTCTCTCTCTAATGGCCCTTTCATTGATAGTCGAGGTGTACAGACATGCAAGGTATTGGTATCACAGGTAACAACTGGCACAAATAAAAACCTCCTACTCCTTTTGCCAAACCGCTACCCCCCCGTGTCCCCCTCTAAGGGAGATCCAGTGTGGGGTCAAGGACCATGAGACAGTCCCCAAGTGACGGGGCCTCACCAACTGCCTCCAGCAGTGGGTTTTCTACTGCTGCCGCGATGTTGCATTTGTCTAGGTACCCTACTGACTGCCCCCTTTGAAGGGCCACCGACCACCGCTGCCGATATTGGTGTAAGAGCTTGGCAGCTTGGTAGGAGGTTGGCTCGGCGTTGAAAAACCGCCTTGCAGCCGATTCCGCGAGTAACTTTAGGAAGTCCACTGTCTCGGGGCATGGGCACCCGTAAGTCTCGACCGCGAGCGGGAAGAACTTAACCCCCTCCGGTCGGTTCTTGTAAAGGCCGTGCTTTTTATCCGCTGCTTCCCGTGCCGCCCATCCCCGCCCTTTGGTTGCGTTCTTGTCCCGGGTGCTAATGGGATCCGTGACCGTCACGTCGCAGATGTAGACGGCGCTAGTAGAGCGGTCACGTAGGGCTAGGTCGGCCTTCTACCCTTGCACGGGGCTGAAGGCGGCTGATTCTATGTGCACCATGAAGCCGGCGTCTCTTGCCATTCGCGCACACTCGTCTCTAAGTTCGTTGTGCGTGTTGATACGTCCCCCCCCTGTTCCGCACCGCAGCAGGTGATTTGGCAGCCGCTTATCCAGGATTTCGACTTTCTTCGTGCAGTTGCACGCCCCTGGAGCGGCAAAGGGGAGCCCCAGCCGGAACTGGAGGGCGTTGGCATAGTGTGGAGCGTCGAGGCGTAGCGATTGGTGAATTGGCACGGCATTTAACCAGTCACCCGCCCCATATCCTGACAGGGACAGCATTCGCTGAGTGTGGCCGTTGGTGGGGTTCGGCCTCATCCCCCGCACCTCCTCCACCTGTACCGCGTACCGCTGGCCCTGAATAGCCGTGGCCAGCCCGTGCTGCAGCTTCCCTGTTGGTGGGGCCGCTCTTTCCGCTTGCAGGACCTCCATGGCCGGCAGGGGCAGCTCCTCCTCGCATTCTGCCAGCCACTCGGTCAGGGGGGAGGTCTGAGTGTAGGGGCCACGCATCAGCCCGCGGGTGTCCTCTAATGGGCCGATGCTCTCGCTGTCCAGTGATTCAAGCAGTAGCTGTGCTTGCGTGTAGCTGGCGAGGAAGCTGTAACGCCCCTCCACCGAGGGATTAGCTAGGCCAACGCCCCCGAGCGACAGGGGAAGAGATGCTTGTGCCCAAACGCGTGACGTCTCCTCGTCGCCCCGCGGGTGGTTGATTTCGCACGCCGTGAGGAGTGTTTCCAGCAGCCGCCGCCCCCAGCCTGACCACTCCTCCTTGGGCAGGAATGGCAGAGGTGTCGTGCGGGCGAGGTAAGAGACCCGGCGAGAGATACACCGGGACAGCAGCAATCCCGCCAGCTGCGGGTCCATCCGCTCAATGAGCCCTAGCGGCGCGCTCATCCCTTCAAGACTGGTACGTACGAAGTCCGAGGTTGCCTGTGCTGTGCCAATGTAACTCCCTAGTACTTTCAAGCTGTTGCAGCTGGGGGGGACTCCTTCAGGTAAGCGGCAGAAAGGAGGGGACCGAGAGGATTCCCCTGGTGGACCCCCGTTTCACTGTGCAGAGGCGGATGAGCAAAGGCTGCGTCCAAGTGAAGAAGGGACGGCTGGCCATGGGAGAAGCAGACCAGTGGCAGCAATGGCTCTAATCGTGAGTCTTTCAGGGCTTTAGCTATTGCAAGGCGGTCAACGCTGTTGAACGCGTTAGCCAAGTCAGCCTGCAGAACTAGAGTGTCCGGATTAGCAGCCGTATAGGTCCTTACGATGTGTATGACAGCCTCGGCTCCTCCTGGCACGGCCACGCCAAACTGCAGAGGTAAGAAAAATTCCCTTGCTGCGTCTGCCAATTGTGTAAGCGCTGCCTTGGCCGCCAGGCGGAGGATGCATTCTCCTATGGCAATCGGCCTGGTCCCTCCGTCAGGTTTGTCTAGTGCTATCAGTCGTGATGCTGTAAGAAGCTTCCCAACTTCCTGGTGTAGTTTCCCGCTCAGGATTGTGTTGACTAATGCATGCAAGTGAGAACCAACTGTGCTGTGCAGCAGGGCAGCTTCGCGGAGGTGCTCGAAAGTTGTGCCTGAGGGGCCCGCACCCACACCGTTCTCACATCTCGAGAGCAGCTTCAAGAAAACCTCTCGCGGTACTGACAGGTGTGAGTCCGGTTCGGTCTGGGGCCACGGTGAGTCAGGGCGCGAAGCGCTGGGATGCTTGGCGCGGAGGGCGTCTAGCACAGCAGGCGAAGGTTTGCTGACAGGAGTGGCATCCAGCGCCATGACTGCCCTCCGCAGGCTGCCACGTCGTGCCAGTCCCTCAGCTCTGGAGATGACTCCCAACTCATCCGGCACGTGGCGAGGGGGTGGTGGTTGGTCCAAAGAATCTATCGAGTCCTGGTACAACGCCCCCCATTCCCCCCGCAGGAAATTGCGCAAGCGTTTTTCTGTCGCCTTCCAGTCTGGATGTCTTGGCGAATGCTGACGCAGAGTCAGACGGGCGGCAAACAGTAAAACCGTCCAGGCAGTGATGGAGTCAGGGTCGCGTGCGAGTCGTAGGAGTGGTGTCAGCACCACCATGGCGAAAAGGAGGCGCAATTTCTCAGGGAGGCGACGTGCGAGAGGTGCGTGGCGACTGTCGCGCAATTTGTCCAGGTTCCAGCCACTGACACTTGCGAAAAGTGTGTCATCCTTGGCGAGGTCGTCAGGCGACTTTTGTGGGGGTAACTGTGACTGTTGTTGGTTACCCCTCACTGTGGTTCGTGGTGTAGTTGCAGGTGGTGGTGTCAGGTTTGGATTGGCGGGAAGGTTGGCAGCGGTGGCAGGGTTGGCAGAAGTGGTTCGAAGCTGTGGAGATGGTCGCGGCTGGGTGGGTGTGTTGCGGAAATTGGTTGACACGCTTCGAGCGTGGGTTGAGATGGTTCTCAGCCGAGCAGGAGCTTGTGAGTCTGCCTCCTCAGAGGCATTCGAACTTGAGTCTGGCAGCTCTTCCTCCGCCTCATAAATACTCCCCGAAACTGCTTGAGCATCATTAGTTCTTCCTAAGCCAATTAAAGCCCTTCTTGCTGCCGACTGGAACGCGTTCTCCGGACCACCCTCGCGCACACTTCTGCCACGTCCGCGACTTCCGCCACGACCTCCTCGCATCCGCGCGCTGGCCGCGTCCAGCTCTGGACTTTCCCGATTTCCTTCTCCCGTGCTCTGACGCAGTCGTGCGTCCTCCAATGCCTGCTGCCGACGCGTTCGCCGAGATGGTGACAGAAGCGGCGAGGTCGGTGGTGGACCAAGGTCACACCGCTGAGAGCGTGCTTGCCCCGCCTCCGGCTCCTGCTGCACCTGCCGTTGAGGCTCCAACTGCCCCCCCGGTTCCTCCTGCCGCCGCTGCCCCGTCAACGGCCCTTGTCCAACCGGCGTCTGCTCCCCCGCCGAGCCTCCCACTTCCTCTCGGTGCCCCTGCCTCTGGTGCGCCCGCTCCTGTTGCGCCGCAGCCGCCTGCGGCGTCGCTGCTTGTACAAGCTGCTGCTGGTGTCCCTGCGCAGGAGACAGCGGTGGGAGCCGCCCATGACCCCGCGCACCTGGTCGCACTTGCGTCTGCGCCGGTACAGCCCGTCGCGCAGCAGCGCGCGGAGTCCCACAGTCGTGGTGTTGCTGGGGGCAGTGCGGCGGCGCATCGGGGGCGTGGTTCTCCTCGACGTCGCCCCTCCCCATCGTACCGGAATTCGCATCGCGGTGGCCGCGGTGGCTGGTGGGGAGGTCACGGTCGCGGACGTGAGGCGCCGAGCGAGATGCAGCAGCTACGCGACGACTTCCCTGGGATGTTGGCCGCGGCGATGCGCGAGGCACTGAACAGTGCGTCGAATCCTGGCGGCTCGCTGGCTGCTGCCGCGGCAGCGCACGCCTCTGCTCCTGTGGCTGCCCAGGCTCCTCCTGCTCCACCCGCGGTTCCTGCGCCGAGTGCTCAGGCGTACCCGCAGGGTCTAGGCCCAGGTGTTGGCCGTGCACCACCACCCGCATCTCGTCCGGTCGCCGCTGCTCCGTATCCCCCTCTTCCATGGATTCCCCCCGTTCCTGGCACGGGATTTGTGGGAGCGGGAGGCGGAGAGGCGAGGGGGCCCTTCCGCCCTCCGTGTCGCGTTGATGAAGTTCCGACTGTGCCCCCTTCGCCAGCGCTTCCCGTTCCCGCTGCGGCGAGGCTGACCGGGACGGCTGAAGTTCCCACGGCGACTCTCGCGCAGCTGTGGCGCTTGGTGGAGTGCCAGCAGGCCCTGACACTGATTCTGGTGAATTCGCATTTCGCCATCCTCCGGAACCCAGGGAGCATTCTCGATCCGATGGCGCGAGCTGATTGCTTGGCAGCGGCAGCGCAGCTCGCCTTCCTCCTGCTACCCGTGCTGGGAGCGCACGCGCCGGGAGGCGTTGCGGTAGCGCAGCTGGACCAGACTGTCCAGGATCTGACTGGGCACCTCCGCGAAGGAGGCGCTGTTGAAGCGCTTGGCGCGACCGCGTTAGTGGTCCGCCAGATGTGGAGGTCCATGCGAGGGATCCTCGCCAGATGTGGAGGTCCATGCGAGGGATCCTCGCCAGATGTGGAGGTCCATGCGAGGGATCCTCGCCAGATGTGGAGGTCCATGCGAGGGATCCTCGCCAGATGTGGAGGTCCATGCGAGGGATCCTCGCCAGATGTGGAGGTCCATGCGAGGGATCCTCGCCAGATGTGGAGGTCCATGCGAGGGATCCTCGCCAGATGTGGAGGTCCATGCGAGGGATCCTCGCCAGATGTGGAGGTCCATGCGAGGGATCCTCGCCAGATGTGGAGGTCCATGCGAGGGATCCTCGCCAGATGTGGAGGTCCATGCGAGGGATCCTCGCCAGATGTGGAGGTCCATGCGAGGGATCCTCGCCAGATGTGGAGGTCCATGCGAGGGATCCTCGCCAGATGTGGAGGTCCATGCGAGGGATCCTCGCCAGATGTGGAGGTCCATGCGAGGGATCCTCGCCAGATGTGGAGGTCCATGCGAGGGATCCTCGCCAGATGTGGAGGTCCATGCGAGGGATCCTCGCCAGATGTGGAGGTCCATGCGAGGGATCCTCGCCAGATGTGGAGGTCCATGCGAGGGATCCTCGCCAGATGTGGAGGTCCATGCGAGGGATCCTCGCCAGATGTGGAGGTCCATGCGAGGGATCCTCGCCAGATGTGGAGGTCCATGCGAGGGATCCTCGCCAGATGTGGAGGTCCATGCGAGGGATCCTCGCCAGATGTGGAGGTCCATGCGAGGGATCCTCGCCAGATGTGGAGGTCCATGCGAGGGATCCTCGCCAGATGTGGAGGTCCATGCGAGGGATCCTCGCCAGATGTGGAGGTCCATGCGAGGGATCCTCGCCAGATGTGGAGGTCCATGCGAGGGATCCTCGCCAGATGTGGAGGTCCATGCGAGGGATCCTCGCCAGATGTGGAGGTCCATGCGAGGGATCCTCGCCAGATGTGGAGGTCCATGCGAGGGATCCTCGCCAGATGTGGAGGTCCATGCGAGGGATCCTCGCCAGATGTGGAGGTCCATGCGAGGGATCCTCGCCAGATGTGGAGGTCCATGCGAGGGATCCTCGCCAGATGTGGAGGTCCATGCGAGGGATCCTCGCCAGATGTGGAGGTCCATGCGAGGGATCCTCGCCAGATGTGGAGGTCCATGCGAGGGATCCTCGCCAGATGTGGAGGTCCATGCGAGGGATCCTCGCCAGATGTGGAGGTCCATGCGAGGGATCCTCGCCAGATGTGGAGGTCCATGCGAGGGATCCTCGCCAGATGTGGAGGTCCATGCGAGGGATCCTCGCCAGATGTGGAGGTCCATGCGAGGGATCCTCGCCAGATGTGGAGGTCCATGCGAGGGATCCTCGCCAGATGTGGAGGTCCATGCGAGGGATCCTCGCCAGATGTGGAGGTCCATGCGAGGGATCCTCGCCAGATGTGGAGGTCCATGCGAGGGATCCTCGCCAGATGTGGAGGTCCATGCGAGGGATCCTCGCCAGATGTGGAGGTCCATGCGAGGGATCCTCGCCAGATGTGGAGGTCCATGCGAGGGATCCTCGCCAGATGTGGAGGTCCATGCGAGGGATCCTCGCCAGATGTGGAGGTCCATGCGAGGGATCCTCGCCAGATGTGGAGGTCCATGCGAGGGATCCTCGCCAGATGTGGAGGTCCATGCGAGGGATCCTCGCCAGATGTGGAGGTCCATGCGAGGGATCCTCGCCAGATGTGGAGGTCCATGCGAGGGATCCTCGCCAGATGTGGAGGTCCATGCGAGGGATCCTCGCGGCACTTGACGCCCACTTGATGTAGGATTGGGCGTCCGCCGCACGTAGACGTGCTGCATGTTGAGTATCTAAGTAACCCTCTCTCTCTCTCTCTCTCTCTCTCTCTCTCTCTCTCTCTCTCTCTCTCTCTCTCTCTCTCTCTCTCTCTCTCTCACTGCACCTACCGGTACTCTCGCCAGTGCACCTCTCTGCATGCTCACCTCCCCTTCACCCGCTGATTACAGAATCACCATCCATCGCCATGTGCCCCATATCAGCTGCTGATTTCCTCCTCAATTTCGCTCTCCTGCTGTCCCCATCTCTCCCCTTTTTCTCCCCCCTGCCTTTCCCCACTCCTCCAGAGCTAAGCTTTGCAGTATGCCAATCAACCGTCCTGTCTGTGTCACATTCGCCCTTGCCCTGGTAGCTTCATTCTAGTATCCTAGTTGCTGCCCTAACAGCGGCCATGCCGCAACCGCAGCACCTCCTTACACCGTGCAGTCTGCAACGGCAGCTTCTTAGCAAATCACAGTTCAGCTCTCAGTCCAATCGGCACCCATCTACGGTACTTTTTACCACCTGCATCAGCTCTGGATGTTAGGGTATGTTATCCGGTGTGGACTCGCATCCATCTCCACTGTTTTCGCTCCTACCTAATCCAAGGCTTTATGACATAATCACGTACGCAATATTACAAGTTTGTCATGCACCTCTATAGCTGTGATTAAATGCAACCTGAGAAGTGAATCCAACATGGGATTGGACAACTGGAATAATGAATGTAGGGCAGGGGTTTTTTTTATCAGAGTAAATCACTCTGTTTCTCTGAAAATCAGAGTGGTTTTTGGGGGGTCACTTTGACGTTGCTGAGTAATTTTTTTGGAAGATAAGTTTTCTCTGATTTGCCAGGGTTTTGATTTTAGCTACTCTGATAGACCAGTGTAAATTTATGGTGAATGCATTTTTCTCTGTACAGGGTATAGGCATTTTTATCGAGCCCCCGCCTTGTGCAGGTAAAAAATGGCTAGAGAGATAAACTTTATTTAGTAAACTGCGCGGTCAAGTTGTTTTTAGGGGTGCGGAAGGCGTGTGTTCAATACTTGACAGGACACACATAATTGGAGAAATAGGTACACTGACTGCCCGGGTTTTTTTTTTAGGAAGTTAAGTTTTTCTCTGACAAATCAGAGTAGCGCTCATGATCAACCCTGAATTTCAGAGTTCCCAAAAAAAACAACTCTGGAAATCCAAGTAGTAAAAATCCAAAAATAAGCCCTGATGTAGGGCCTCAAACTCGTTATAAACAAAGTTTACTGGTCAACCTTGTTGCCATTGTGGTGCCTCTTTGTATCTGTAAGGAATTTTCTCGATATTCCTTAGCGCGCCCTGCAACATCGTGTACAGCAGCAGCCGTTGTTCGCCCGTTACTGCTAACCGGGCTTCGCTGACTTCGCGCGCACTGTTTCACCAAACCTCGCACTGCTGGCCAGGCCGTGTCGGCCTACGCTTCGGGACTAGCCCGAGCCTCGCTTCCAGCGTAGCACTAGCTAGCTCGCACGCACCGCGTTACCGTTTGCATGTTTCGCGTATAAATGTTCGCTCATGCCTTCGCTCACATTTTGTACTCGTTTGACACCTTAGTGCAATTCTCGCTACTTCGATCCATTGCACCCGTAACACTTGGTATTCAGAGCCTCTTTCATTTCGGACCGCGCATCTCTGCACCGCAGGAAATCAACTTTTGATTTTTCACTCGAAGGGACTCACGCACCTTAGCACCTAGGAGCCGCTGTCCTCGCGTTCTCTCGTAAACGCGTGCAGCCACGACTGCGCGTATGTGAAGAAATGAAGAATGAATGATGAACTAGAAAAATGAGTTGGGTACAAATATGAAACCCTAGAGAACTGTACCCCATAATGTCTACCCCACTACAGCCTAGAAAGACTATAGTATATAAGTTTGATACACCCCCATAGGCAAAGTGGGGGAGAACAAGGGGTCACAAGACCAGTCAAGTAAAGCACAGCAAGCTCAGGGTGGATCACAACGTCACCACACATTCCGAGCACGAGTTCAAGGGCCACAAGGCCAGTTCACATGCAGGTATATATATAAAGCTAAACATGCAAGTGCAAGTATATATAAGGTACAGTACAAGCAAGGTCAAGAAGCGAGCAAGTGAGGCAGAGTAGGTACAAGACCTAACAGAGTACAGAGGCGCTGATGATCACAAGGCGCGAGTGCCTTGGTGAAGATATCAGCAGTGTTGGCCTGAGAGGCCACGTAAGCAAGTCGCAGCTGACCACGCTGCTGCAGCTCACGAGCAAGGAAGTAGCGAAGAGCAATGTGCTTCGTTCTGTGCTCCAGTCTGTGCTCCCGACACAAGGCCAGCATGGCCTTGTTGTCTACGTACAGAACTGGAGGAGAACGAGGCGGCTCTCCAAGGTCAGTCAGCAGGTAGGTGAGCCAGCGTAACTCCTGTGCAGCTATGGCCCCTGCGTAGATCTCAGCCTCACAGCTGGAGCTGAGAACAGAAGAGGAGCGGGTAGACCGCCACGAAACAGAACCGGAACCAAGGCTGAAGGTGTAACCCTGTGACGACCGCTGCGTAGCCAAGTCGTCAACCCAAGACGCGTCTGCGTGACCAGTGAGGACCACTGGACTCCGCCCTCCAAGCACTAGCCCCATGCCCGACGTACTGCACAAGTAGCGCAACACCCTCTTCGCTGCAGCCATGTGCTCAGGGAGGTGTCTCCCAGGAGCAACATAGCGTGCGAGAATGCTAAGAGGGTATGCAAGGTCAGGTCGAGTGCATGTCATCAGGTACATGAGGCAGCCAACAAGCTCTGGGTACGGGCCACTCGGCTCTACGGACTCATCCGAAGGCAGAGCTGAGAGCGAGTGGCGAGTAGACAGAGGAGTGGCCTGAGGCGAGGAGTACGTGAAGCCGAAGCGCTGAAGGACCTGCTGCACCATGTGTGACTGAGTCAGGGTAATGGTGCGCTGTGCTCTGTCCCGGGTGATCTGCAAGCCAAGGTAGCTACGAAGTTCACCCAGGTCTGTGCACGTGTGTCTCTTCTGCAGCTCGGACTTCACGTGGGCGAGTCCAGCAGTGTCAGCTGTGGCAAAGACCAAGTCGTCGACGTACACGAGGATGTAGAACGGCGGCAAAGAGGTGTCGGTGCGCAGAAACAGCGACGGGTCGGCAGTGGAAGGAGCAAACCCAAGAGCAGCAAGTGTAGTCCTCAGTGTGTCGTGCCACTCACGAGGTGCCTGGCGGAGACCGTAGACTGGCCGCCGGAGACTCCACTGGGTGCCAGGAGGAAAAGACCCAGTGAAGCCAGGTGGGCGGCGCAGCCAGATCTCCTCGTGCAGGCTGCCCTGTAGGAAAGCAGTGCTGAAGTCAAGAGAGTGAAGCTCGTAGTCGCGCTGAGCAGCTATGTGCAGCAGTACCCGAAGAGTGGTCATCTTCGGGGTGGGAGAGAAGGTCTGAAAGTAGTCAACTCCCTGCCGCTGACTGAAGCCTCGAGCCACGTAACGCGCCTTGAAGACAGGCGGAGAACCCGGCGGCCGCTTCACCCTGAAAATCCACATGCCACTGACGATGTTCGCCCCAGGTGGGGGAACCTCGTCGACGTAGGTGCCTGTGGACTTCCAGGAAGCCATCTCTGCGTCCATGGCTGCCTGCCACTGAGAGGAGTAGGGACCCTCTATCGCCTCCGCGTAAGAGCGCGGAGTCGGGATGTCTGGTGCATCCGGGTCTCCCTCAGGGGCAAGCAGCATAGACACGAGGTGAGGTGAAGCAGCAGCAAAACACTGGAACTCCTCCTGCCTGTCCTCAAGGACGTCCGTGCCAAGGGCACACTCACCCCCGACGGACGGAGGACAGACAGACTCAGACTCAGCAACAAGACTAGCAGCGTAGTCTAGACGACAGTGAGCAGCAAAGTCGACAAGCTCAGAAACTAAGGCAGACGCAGCAGCGGACTCAAAGGAAGGGTCAGTGACGACAGTAGCAAGGAGACGCGTGACAGTAGGACTGGCAGCACGAAGGGAGTCCGACTCCGGGTCAGCAAGAACAGGAAGAGAAGACTCAGGAGGAGAAGGCAAAGGGGCACGCAGCGGAGCAGTGGAAGGACGCAGAGACATCCGGTGCGTGCCGGGGACAGGGGGAGGACGCTGACGCGAACCACGGCCACTAGTGCGAGCAGCACGGACAGGCGACGCAGGACGAGACGCAGGCTCACGACGCTCAGCAAGACCTCCAGTAGGACCAGTGTAGGGAGAAGGAGCAGGCAGTGGGGAGGCTGGCTGTAACTGTGACTCGGACTGGACAGGCTGTGGACACTCTAAGGGAGGAGCAGGACCAAGAGAGGGCGGAAGACCAAGAACCTGCTCAAGGAGCGGAACGAAGTATGGCCGCGGCCGCGCAGCTCCACCAGAACCAGCAGGAACAGCACCGGCACCCTCAACTCCAGCAGCGCCAACTCCAGCACCTCCAGCACCCTCAGAAGCACCAGCGCTAGCAGAACCTCCAGCGCCAACACCCCCAGCACCTCCAGCTCCAACCGGACCACCAGAAGACGCAGCAGCTCCAGCTCCAGCAGCACCAGCAGCACCTACGCCAGCAGCACCACCAGCTCCAGCACCAGGAGCACCCGCAGGCCCAGCAGCTCCAGAACCCTCAGGACGAGCAACCGTGGGACCCGCGGCACCAGCACCCTCAGCAGCAGTAGAACCTCCAACACCAACAGCACCTCCAGCTCCAGCAGCACGGCTCCAGCGGCGAGCAAACCACTCGCGCAGCTCCTGTGGAGAGAGTAGCTCGCGCCGGGACGAAGCACTCGAAGGACCTCCAGACCCAGTCCCGCAAGACGCCACACGAGCAGGCGCAGCACCCCCGGACTCCGCACCCCCAGGGTCAGCACCCCCACGCTCAGCACCCCCAGACCCCGCACCCGCAGGCTCAGCACCCCCAGTCTCAGCACCCCCAGGTTCAGCACCC